TGTAGCCTCCCATGCTGGACTGGTTGCTGTATCCTCCAGTGTAGCCTCCACCCATCTGCTGCCCTCCATGTCCATAAGACGACTGGTTTCCTAAGAGAAAAATAAATACAAAAAAAAGTCTTAAATATATATATATACATTTTCTGCCAATGGGCTCAGAAAAAAAAAATCAACAATTCAAACAAGTTAAAAGCCCAAGGACAGACATTCGTTCTGGTTTTAAACAAAAAATGTCACAGTTCAAAAAAATTTTCATTTTGTTCAATTTCACAGAAAACAAGACTTCATATCTTCAATTTGCATCAAGTAAATGTATGTTGATTTAAGCATGTTAGCCATTTGTATTGGAAAACAAAACAAAAACTAAAAAAAAGCACCAAATTAAGACTGTAGAAGCCCTGATTTTTGTGACATTAATATAGCATCTTTATATACGGTCACATTATTTATACTTACCCATTCCCCCCATCATCTGCCCTCCGTAGCCCCCATTACTGCCCCCTGCTGTTGAGTTTAAGAACAACTCAACATAACGGTGTTCTGAAAAGAAAAAAGTGGTTTAAAATTGGTAACATTCTCATTTAATATCAATAACAAAAGCAATTCCTTCTAGTCAGGTTACACCTAACTTACGCATGTTTGCTTTGTCCTTTGACATTGCAGCCACGGCATCTTCATGTGTCGCAAATTCCACATCAGCCTCACCGGTTACTCGCCCATCTGGACCAATCTCAATGTGCACACGCACCGGGTTCAGAGGAGAGAAAAACTGCACAGAAAAGGTTTAACTTACTTTAAACATATTATTTGATATCCAAATGTAATGCATTTCAAAATGACCATAAATTTCATATAAAAATCATGTACATCAAACACCCCCAACTCACATTGTAGATATCGGGTTCTGTTGCCCGGTAAGGCAGTCCCCTCATATGAACACAATGACCTGTGGTACTCTGAAAATTACCACCATCACCATAACGTCCCTCTGACACTCCTATTTAAAAAATAAATACACAAGTAAAATATATATACACAGGTGCATCTCAATAAATTAGAATGTCATGGAA